CCTTCCCCCAATCTCAAAATCTCCGAAATCCTAATGCCAAACAAACTCTTTACTCGTTTACTGTTGCGGTCTAAAGGCGGCATCGACTGCTTACCATCAGGTCATCTACCTGTCTTAGCCGTCCATATAAGAAAAAATATTGTTGTCTATCCCATAAAATAATATAATGCGTCATAAAAATACAATATTATCACCTGCGCAAGTCCAATTGTGTTCAATACGAATACCAACAGCAATCAAATCATTTGTTTTTTCTTCAAGAAAATCTTATTTGTCCTTCCCAAATAAATGAAATTACGTAAACGATTCGTTGAGCGCGTCATGTTTGTTTTAGGGTCGGTACGTCAATATAACGACTTGCTTTTAAATCCATGTCTGTGTGGGCAAGGGAGAACTCATGCAATGTAACAATTTTACAAGGTGGTAGAAAACATTGAATGATTCGTCCCTCAACCCCTCAGATGTCGCGGCCATTTTTGCAAAATTGCGCATATGTCAGCAGTACGTACAGGTGGGGTGGCGAAAAATTGGCGCGTAATATTAAAACACCGATATTTTTGAAATTTGTAGTAACAACTATGCACTATCATATATTGTTGCAATCGTAATGAAATATACTAACAGGCTACATACTTTATAGTTTATATTTAACATGTAATATAATGTTAAATCTAAAGTGAAATTAAGAGAAGTGTTTTTTTTCCACTTTATTCGTTATAAGTCGCTATTAATCAATAATAATACAAAGATTTTGAAAAAAAAATTAATTTGTTTACTTAAATATAACTTATTTTACAGTAAACAATACAGAAAATCAAATCCCTTAGTACATTTTTTTTACACCACAAGCTTTTTACTGCACTTGACCTTTTTCGGGTACCTGCTCGACCGACAAAAATAAACACATGTTTAGTTTTCGATTCTAAACAAAGTTTAGCCCGGATGGCTTCAACTACGTGTGTAAATTAAAGTTTAGTTAATATTCATTACGTACAGAATATATTTTATCCAAGTTTTGAGTATGAATTAATAAAAATCATCAATCTTAATAGGCACTTAAATTTAAGCGCTAAAATATCATCTCAAATGTTTGATGATTGAGCAAAATCTGTACCATCAATTTCAAATATAGATTCATGTTCGTAAGGTTAACAATATTTAATATTTTAAAACTATAAAACATAAACATGTTTCTGTACAAAAACATTTCCAAAATCCATTACAAAAACTTATCAAAACACCACAAAAAGTACAAGTTTGAACATACGTAGTGTTAACTTAATATGGATAAGACTACTAACATTCAAAATCTATCAAGTCAAATTATTATTTCTTTATTGCTTTTAGTATCGGTACAGCCTCAACGATAAATGATGGCTGGCCTTTAATGTCTTCGGTGTCCATGGGTGTTTCTAAAAGGCACCTAAAGGTGCAAGGAATCAGTGGTGCGACCATTTTTTCATCATCACTCTCACCATCATTCGGTTCGCTACCTGCAAATGTTCAAAAAAATTGCTAAAGAAAAAAAATACGATTAGAAAAATAATCAAACCATTGGACCAAAGTACAAAAACGAACATGAATGTCTTATCCCCATTAATTCTACCTACAGAAAAAATGGCCGACTCGATGACCTTGAAACAAAACGCGAGTCTGTCAATCAACCTTTAGGAGGCCGATTCGGTTTGCGAAGTTATTCAATTCAATATTACACAAAATCTAATCAATTATACTTTAAAACAAATCGTAATATATTAAAACAATTAATTTTAAAAGAATTTGCTATGATTGTTTTGCTACTATAAGAATATTTTATATTTAAAATATTAGAAAAAAGTTTGGGCATAATACCGAATCGACTTATCGTGTATCAATAATCTTTGTTAATTTTGATTATTTTATTACAAATCCATAAGATAATTATTTTAAACAGTGTATAACTTACCCATCTATGATATTCTTTATAATTTGTAGTAATTAAAACACCAAAACAAAATATATTTCACTTTAAAGTATATGTCTCTGCAACGGTAAACGTTCGAATAAACACGCAACTATAGACTTATGATATTAGTAGACCACTTTATTTTTCCGGATAGCACTTGATTTTATCGCCACCCCTGTCTTTCGTACTACGTTTTGTAAAGGTTTGAGCAAGAGAGGTATAGTTAAAGCGTCACAAATTTAAATTAAATAGGGCACGGGACTAGGCGCCTTTAGAAGGCGGCGCGACAGATGCGCGTAATAGCGATCGACCTTTAGAAGGCCGTTCGACATACGAGAGGTCAAGTAAAAAAAAAATTGTTCAATACAATCAGCTGTTCACAAGACGTGTATATGGAACGAAGTCAAAGGAAGAAAGTATTTCCCTATAAGGACGACAATGTCCTTGTGATTCTTCTGGAGCTGCGGGTATCTATACCTTGGCGGGCTGATTACTTACCAATTTTCCCGTCCACTAGTTTGCCTCATATCACAATATAAAAAAAATCATTCGTGTTAATTTGTCTATCTCACCAATGTGACCAAGTCTTTATTATCATTTTTTCGTTTTATTGGACAAATAAGCGGTAAAATTTTGATTAATCACCAATAATGACATTGATGTTTCGTTTGTTATTTATGACTTATGTGTATACATATAATTCGGAAACAAAAGAACAAGTCTATATTTGACTCATTGTTTATAGTTCTTGAGTTATATAAAAAATAATAGGTAAGTATAGTTGGCTCTATTATCTGTACTGATTCAGTAGCTATTCCAAGCAAAGGTCTTTGGACAGTAACTATTACACTTAGACTAGAGAACCGACCAATGGATGAAAAATACGTGGTTTCGTTAATAAACATATAGTTTCCAACATACCATATATTTCATGTGTGTGACCTATGCTTCTACACGAATGGGTCGGCTCCATCGAAGCGATACCACGCCTTACAGACAACCTTCATGAAACAGCCACAGCGTTGCCACAGTATAAATATCATACAGTATTGTAACTCGGCCGCTTGAAAGAAATAAATACCTACAGCCGCGCGGTACGTAAACATGCGTTAGGGCTGCTCGTCTCCAGTATTTTAATTACCTTTGTCTACTTTCTGTTTCCATTTAGTTTTGTGATTGTAAATATCCTTTTTTTTTAAATAAACAAATAAAGTGCTTTAAAAATAAACAAACAAAATTTCTTTGGCCACTAATGCCGAACTGAACAGCTGACTACGAATGTTCTAAAATCACAACCCTCAAACATCAAAATATTACATGAGTCTAGCTGTTTTATTGTTGTTATTAAATATTTTCTAGTATTATTCATAAACGCAGATAATAAACAAATATTATTAATAATAAAATACCACACTCTCTACTTTCAATTATACAAACTAACAAAACATACATGAACCGTTTTAACACAAGCGTAAGTAGGTAGGTACCTAACGTATCATGATTCATTCAGAACCAGAACCGCCTATAACTACCTATTTCACTCGTCTCAATAACTTTATTCATATTATTTATAAATTCAAACATCTGTTTTCGTGAGATAACTGGAAATAATGATCCATAAAGACACACATTATGTACCTACCTAGGCTACTAGTAAGTAAAATTATTTTATAGTCTTACCTTTCAGAGTTTCCAGGTAATTTAAAAAAAACTTATGTCTGGATGCGTTATTGACGAATTCATGCAACCAAACATAATAACAGCACAATATTTCCTATTCGTCATATTAAATAATGTACTCGAGCTGATTTCTAAATAAAAGACAACACACCGTCCGTTCGTCACTGCGGTACAGCCGCGTCTGTCAGCGTCCCGAGCGCGTCCCGACATCGGGCGCGTAGGTATAGTTCGCGTTTCGGCCGTTTCTATGAAGTTGAAATACTTGTAGATATTATTACCTTGGCGTTGCGTTTCGCCGTGTGAGTGAGGTTATCGGAGGCATAAACCATCTCCTCCCCCAATCCCTAAACCGCCAAAATCCTAATACCTAAAATGTCGGCAACGCACTCGTGACTCTTTCGTTTCGGTGCGGGTTTAAACAGGGAAAATCATTATCATTACTGGCCTTTTCACTTTCACGTCCATGGTAGGGCGCTGGAAGTGTCAAACTTTTAGTGGCTAAATTCTACTCAGTTCCTTCTCCTGCTCTAGGCTTTCGTCGTAAGACAGTGCGCAGTATTATTATAGAAATTGTTTGAAACAATCCTCACCTACACAGACCCCACAACAATCAAAGGTCAAACAGATACCTATTAGGAATTTTGTCAAAGCAGTTAATCTCTTAGTATTGTAGAGACACTTCAAACGTAACGCCTAATAATTATTATCAGTTTCAAGAAATTCTAAATCAGTTGAGTTTTACTTTGAGATCAAAACACTTCGTTCTGAAATAAATTTTCGTGTTGTATAAGTGTGACAGCAGTGGTAGTAGATTAACACCCGGTTTCTGAAAGGCTTGTCAACGCTAAAATTAACTAATCTCCTATTAAATCTCTTGTTAAGTCATCTGATTGGTTGTTGATAATTCAGTCAACCGATCAGATGACTTGACAAGAGATTAAATTGATTTTAACATTGATCGGCCTTTCGGAAACCGGGGGTAAGCGTATCAATGTTCTAGTACCTATTATGAAATTAGAGACGTAATAATTTGAATATACCTACAGAAGAAAACAAAGTTATTATTTAAACGTGTTTGTAGACTGTTAGAAATTCATTTTATTAATTAATACTTGATTTTGGTTATATATCAGGCTATTAAATAAGTGAATACTTTTATAATGACGAATTAACCCATCCATCCTAAATCAAAGTTCTCAAATCCGTAATAAACCACAAAAGGCTGGTAATGTATTTGTACTAACTCCTTTGGTAATACGAGTGTCCATGGGCGACACTGATTGCTTACCATCAGGTAATACGTCTGCTCGTTTGCCGATCTATGACATAAGAATATCTCATTTTAAGAAACTGGATACAATAAAACAAACAAATTAATATTACATTTTATCAATTGCTTTTATTCATAACATTACAATGATATTTGATCCGTAAAGGTACATTTTTTTATTTTGAATTCTATGACTTAATGACTCTTAAGTTGGGTAAAATTTAGACCGAAAATCGTTTAAATATCAATAATACAATAAGATATCAATTATTATTTTAACCTCCAGAAATCTACAAAAATGAATTTAAAAATAAGTAAATTATTAAATAAAGTAGAATTCATAAATAAATTATTCAATAAAATAAATAAATAAATTCAAAATCAGTCAGAACGCAAACTCGCGAGTCTCTATTCAATATTGGGTTAAGGTACACGTTAAAGGATAAAATTTACTTGGAATGTGGTACTTAAACGTTTAAAACTGTTAACAGTAATCACGAACATTGATTTAAATGACATGGTTTTTAATATAGATCCCGAGACTGTTGCACTTCTCATCTCCTTCTTGCATACGCCAACCAAGCAGGTAAGTCCGGCTTCTGAAAATAAAAAAAGAGATTTGTTTCATTACGAACTTTTTCGTGTCTATCCCCAAATCCCCAATCCTCAAAATCCTAATCTACGAAAGGCCAGCAATGCGCTGGTAACTTTTAGAGTTGTGATAGTCCATGGGCGGCGCGAATGAATTATTATCGTGGTGGCATGGAGGTTGAGGCGCCCTCTTCTCATGCATGACGATGCAAAACCTGACACGTGACTTTTTCCAAGTTATAATATTATGTACTTTCTATGACTATTAAGACACCACTGACATACTGTGAAGAAAAATATCATGTGGAAACCTGGACTTATAATTCCTAATTATAAGTTTGAAACCGCCAATCCTCCGCAATGAACAAGTGTAGCGATTAATGCTCAAACCTGCTCCGTCTGAGAAGAGGCCTTTGCTCAGCAGTGGCCATTTATTCTGAAGATGTGCTTTGCGGCGCCGATTGCTTATCTTAAAATAACATTTACAAATTCTATGATATACCTTTTACGAATTCGAATTCAATAAACAAATAAATTATTATTTATGAATATGAATAACAGTTGTAAGTAAATTACTTTGGTAAGTAATTAATATCGATGTTATTAAATTAAGTAATTATTTCACGCCACGGTTATTGTAATGAATTCATTAAACCCCGTTATAATAATGACGTGAAACAATTTCTGTTTAACTACCAATACCGCAACTTTATTGAAATTCAATAAATTTAAATAGCCTTGCCCTTACCACTGTTTGCTAAACTTACTTCGAGTTAAAAAATTGAATGAAACCTTTTTTAATTTTCCTTCTTTTAACAGAATCGCATTTATAATGCCCTTTTAGTTTTTGAGCCAGTTGTTTGTTTGAATTCAATTCAACAGGTTTGAAATTCTTACCGATAAACGATATTATTATTAGCACATCAGGGGTGTGATTCTGTAAGACTTCATTCTAAACTTCGAATCTGAATCCACTGTGAGTATTAAGTACACTAGCGCTACACTTGCGAGTTGAACTAAATTGACAGCAACATTTTGATAGATAAAGTATGAGATGACGTTAAAAGTGACATTCTAAAATTTAATTTCCCGGCACTTCGACGCTCACTTCGCACTCGAACAAGATTCAAAATCAAACAAATTTTATAGAATCGACGTGCAGATTACAAATAAGCCCAGACTGTAGATCTGACTTATATGAAAAGAAACACAGTTACATTAATGTTTTAGGAAGATTTTACTTTATTTCTTAGGGCCTTTTTTAAAAACTTGTATAGCTACTAAGTACCAGATACATTTTTACATCTCTGCACTACCTAAAAAACGAATTTAGAATTAAGTCCTTTGATAATGCATGTGTGATTTATGTACCACATTAATGTATTATAAGATTTCTACTCATATAACAGTGACACAGATCCTAAGTTATACAATTACTTTTTAAAAGATTAAAGAAACTACATTGACTACTTTTCTACTCAATGCTATCACAATCTGAATCCATTAGTAGTGCTAGCTCCAAGCTATCAATAATCCAATAACGAAGGAAATAAATCCGCATATGAAAGCTGCATTGATATGCAATATCGACGTTTATTCTTCATATTATTGTGATTCAAAGGAATAACCGCATAAAATATCAGATCAAACGACTACACTATAAAAGGATTGAAATAAGAATAGGAATTTGAAATGAGAAATGCTGTTATATTTCTACTTAAAAAGTAAGTTTTGTATCTGTGGAATGATTTTCATTTGTTTTAGTTTTTGTCCGCAACTAAATTTTAAATAGAATTTTATTTCAGTTTTGAATTTTGTGGTGTAACTATTGTTTTGTACTGAATTTAAAATAAATCTTTACCGAAATGACCTTACACATACATATGACATTGAGGTCTAACTTTTGCTTTACCTATTAATTGTTGAATGCATAATTACAAAGTAGCAAAGTATAAGTTTTATTCCGGTCCCAATGAGAGGAATGATTTTCATTTGTTTTTGTTTTTTGTCCTAAACTAAGTTCTTAGTAGAATTTTATTGAAGTTTGGAATTTTGTGGTGTGCTCAAACATGATCTATATTGACTTCTAACTTTTGCTATACCTAGGTACTTATTAATTGTGAGTACATAATTACGCAAATAAATAACTCATATTTGTATGAGTTTTATTCCGGGCACAATGGGAACTGTGAATTTACATTACTCTAGAATGTACTATATTAAATTATAATCAATTATACTTTATTATGAAACAATTCATACGACAAAAAATTGTTAAATAATCCAAAAAATTAGTCTCTTTTTTTTTGATCTAAACATCACTCACCTACATTAGGTATAATAGTCGGTTAAGTATATAACACCACACATATCAAGATTATCGCAACTAAAATAAACCCACCATTTTCCTTACTAAATTGTAACACCTAATTTTATCAACACCTTAAAGTACCAACAAAATATTTAAAGGACAGAGAACAGGTTGTTTGTTTAGGCCCGTTTATTAATTCACGAAAGCAACACCAAAGGTAAAAAGATCAAAAGAAAACGAAACACATTTAACAACTAGGGCTTAATTAATAAATTATGTTTCGGATTAAATAAACGCTTAAATTTAATTTCTAAACTCATAGATTTAAACTGCTTTCATTTATCAAAACAAATTCAATTCTGTGAATAACTCTACTGACACGTGCTATTCAATAATTGAATAAATTCAACCGTTTATTCAATTATTGGGTTGTGTTAAAAACTTTTTGGAATACTATTTCTAGTTATTGAATAGTAGTATTGGCTTGGAATAAGGGAACTTAGTATATTTGGTAGAAGAGGGTTAAGTCAAGTGTCCAACTTATCAACTTAAGCATGCTTCAACTGATTGAACATGTTATTGGGTTACACATAGTATAAGTGACTTTGGATTCGGTTGGCTTTGGCACATTTTCCCTGTTGTTCAATATGTTTGAAATTCAATATAGCTTTTAAAGAATGTTTTTGAACATCGATGTAATTTCCAAAGTGGGGTACTTGAAAAGACCAAGCAAGGGTTTGTATTTAAATAACCCTTTTAATACTATTTGTGAAAGATGAGACCCAAATAAAATTTAATATGATAGATCTATTAGGTAAATTGAGATTTTGTATTGGAAGTGGGATGACAAAATTATACGTGTTTAGTCAATAACATGATAGGACTAATATCTATATACCTTTATAAGATATAATAATATGGAAATAGAGAGCTTCTAAGATCACTTTAATTGAATTTTCCAAACTTAAGAATATATAACGCCTACGGATCAGGTTTTTTAACTTGAATATAGGTCGGTATTTATAATGACAACTCTTTCTACACTTGAAAATCAGCATTGATAATTCAACATTATCATAAGGTGAAGAAATGAGTACATTCTATTATAATTGAACCTATGTTTCTATGACGATTGTTACTAAAAGGCTTTAAATTGATAAAACCAGAAAATTTCGAGATATTAATACATGTCTGAATTTCTATTACAAATAAATCTCATAAATTTTAGTCGAATAAATAAAAATCTATGAATTATTCAGCAATTTATTTTTAGTAAAACATAAATTTTACCAAAAAAATATTTAATTCCTAGGAAATTGTTTAGCAATTAATAAATAATGAATTATATTATCCTTTCAAAAGGCAACGTTCTGTTACGTTAATCATTTTGTTTGATGGGTAGGTAATTTGAACTCTACTGAACTTTATACAAAGATTAATTTTAGTTTTTCATAACGATAGTATTTTGGGAAAATAAACATAGTTACGTACGCCAAATAAAAAAATACGAGTACATACCATTAGGGGTCAAAAACAGTTACCTATAAGGTTCAATTTTATACTACCAGTATATGGGCGCCACTAAATATTATCACAGATAGTTAGGCTCAAACGGGATGATGATCAGACCTAACAGGACACCGGCTTCAAACTAATTACATTGTTGTTTCACAGCGTGAAGTCACCGGAGGGCTAATCCTTACGCTTCCTCCATCCCCAATCCTCTAATCCCTAACGCTCTAAAGGCCAGCAAATTTTCTGCTGGCGCTGATTGCTTACCATCAGCTAAACCATCTGCCCTTTTGCCACCGTTTATCATGTAAAAAGAGACCGTCAGAGAAGTTATTTTCAAGCAACGACAGAGACTTCTACTTGACTACAAAATTCCTTCCATTGAGTATATTAGTTGAAGCGAATGAAATTCGATTCTAAATTAAATTCCACATTCACGTTAAATTGTTCCTTTGCTAGCTGCTGTGGTTCCATTACCACATATCAGAAAAACTTGTTCGTGTAGATAGTTTCAAAGTCTACAAAATCCTTCTTTGAATCAGGACGCCTAGTGCGAGTTTGTTTTACGTTACCGAGACGTTTAAATTTAGCCCTCTGATTGGTCGGTTAACATGCAGCAGGCCAATAAGGGCGCTAAATATTATAAAAGTCTCAATCGCACAAGGCGCTCTGTTATAAATCATCAAAAACCAATAAAAACAATATAAGATGGGTCAATAACTCCTGGGAACAAACATTTTAAAGATTTAGTTATGAAAACTAAAGTGTTAACAAATTTTCAGTTCATTCGGTTATAGATTTGCTTCGAAATTTATTTGCAAGATTTCTCCTTACAAACCTCTATATTTACATACAATGCAAGTTAAATAACAGGTTGTAAAATATCTGTGTAAACGTACACACTACATAGGAGAAGAACAATATGGTGCAAAGTTTAAAAAATGTTAGTGTAACAGCAAAAAAGTTACAAATTTTAGAGTGAGACAATGTGATACTTGTATATTTTGATATTTAATTTATACTTATATTATAAAGATGTAAAATTTGTAAGTTTGTAAGTTTGTAAGTTTATATGTAGGGGGTAATCTTTGGAACCACTGGTCGGATTGCCAAAATTCTTTCATTGATAGAATCAAATAGCTACAATTGTCCTGCGTGCTATAGGCTATAAAATATTACGCTAAAATCAAATAGAGCCGAGCAGCGGGTGTAGCTAGTATAATATATAATAAACACCTACAGAGGTGTTAAAACTATGTATTGTCGAAAGCAGGTGACATTTTCCTGACGAGAAGTATGAAAAAAAATGACGTATAGATGCACCACCTACATAAAAGATGACTGTAATGGGATTGCTATTTTATGGTTATTGGCAATTTCCATTGAAGAAATGGTGTTAAGGTTATTATTCTGTAACACATATGTATAGTAAGTAGGCGTTCCTGTTACTTGTTACTGTAATAGAAAAAGGAAAAAATGTTTGCAAATTGTAGGGACTTAAAATGTATCCCTCCCCAACCCCTAATCCCCAAAAGGTCGGCAACGCACTCATAACTCCTCTGTTGCGGGTGTCCATGTCCAGTAATCAGTCAGGTCGTTTGTCGACCTATTATATTAAAAAAAGTAAAGGAAATTGTAAATGCATATAAGCTAGGCTATTGCATTGGGTACAAAACCTGTAAAAATAGTCTAAGTTTTGGAAAATAAATAAATAAATAAATAAATGTTACAGCCAATCAAGAGAACTAGTGGCATATGACATGTGGGATTTATATAGAAAATTCCAAGTATATTTAGAAACCACGCTAAGAATATCTATTTCTGTTGACACATAAATAGGTTTTGTTTTAATAAACAATATGCTTTTTATAAGGAATTTGTTTACCAAACATAATTAAAAAACAATGAAAGATCTCTACCACAGGCAGTGGGTGCAAATGATAAACAACCTTATTAATACGGGTTTCTGGTTTCAAATATATTACTGTGTATTTGTTTGTGTTTGTTAGGTGGATATATTTTTACCGGAAAACAATATATTGTTGTCTATGTATACATTTATGGCAATGGCTACCGTATTAGTGGGATGCTGAAAAGTGTGACCTCCAAAGGGTTCAATGACCGAATCGGGGTCAACAGAAAATAGATTTTATTTCGAATAAGTACCGTTATTTTGAAAAATATCTTAATATATTTTTAAGACGACCTAAGTCGGAAGAGAAGGAGTGTCAGACTATTACTGATTAATAACCACCCCATTCCTTTGCCCTTGACACACAACTCCGCCTGGGATATCTAAGGCTATCTAAGAATCATATATGGTCGTGATCTAGATAGAAGTCATGGATGGACGCTTACCTTCACCAATGGAGGCCTAGCCCCTAGACACGATGATGACGTATGGCATCTATCGTAAAAATCACTCGCATAACAGTTTTAATATAATAACGATAATTAGGTAAACTATTCTCGCCTTGATGATGAACGAATTCATCATCATCATCAGCCTATAAGTGCCTACTGCTGAGCAAATCTTTCTACTCACGCGGAAAATCATAATTAACCACGCTTGATGGGCAGGAGGGCAATTTTAAACTTATAATTATAAATTATAAGTCAGGTTTCCTCACTATCTTTTTCCATCAACGTATGTCAAAGGTGTCTAAATAATCTTAGAATGTACATATTATTATAACTCACAAAAGTCACATTAGTACTTGCCTTGTATCGAACCCTCATGTTTAAGAAGCAACTGTCCGAACCACCTGACCACCACGTCGTAATTACAAATAAATAATTATATATTAACTTACGACTCTGAGTTATCGAATTATATACCTACTTATGCAATTAAGATAAAAGTTACAAGGGCAAGAAAATAAATTAGATAAATAAACTATTTCTTACGAAAACTAATCTGGTAAATATTGTTGTAATTTCTTTGACTTTCACGATAATTGGGTTAATCTGGTATATATAGACGTAGGTAAGTACTCAAAATTTAGTCTTTTATTTTTAATTACCTAATCTTATTACGAAAGCTTGCTTTTTCTATTTTTATTTTGTATCTCAGATAATTTAATTATTGTAATGCTTCAAGTCCTTTTAGACTGAAATGAACCGATAGAAAATTCGAAAATAAACAGATGCGTCATTTAGAAAAAACATATTGCATCACTGTCAGATTTTCTCCTGTGTCGTAGGTGCGTTTACAAACATACAATTTTATCACACCCAGACCCGAAACAACAATATGTGGACAACACAAAGAGTTGTTCCGTATAAGAATCGAAACCGCGACACGCTACGCAACACCCAGCTGTCCAACTACCACACCAACCGTACAGTCATTGCCATGACGTCTCATGCCAAATTTCTACCATCAGAGAATATTATATGAAGAAGAACAAGAATATGGTTCGTAGGTAAGTGTTAGAAGTAAGAAACTCACCTCAAGGTCCTTGGCCCAGTTCGTATAGGCATCAGAACGCTTCCCGAACCTGTGGACAAAGAGCACATCTTTAAAAAAATAGATAGAGATGAACACGGTATGTATAATAATAACACATATAAAAATTTTTACGGGTGGTATTCATGTGACATATAAATATTAAGTACATATGGATTCGCTCGTAATTTGACTTTTCGAAGTCACAGTCCTTTCCTACCTATTTTGTTAAAAGAAACGTTATCTCTAGGTATTTTTTCTAAGTAGGTAGGTAATCATATATTTTACATTTATGTGAGCAAAATAAAATTAAAAAATAAATATCAACTTCGCTTTAAATAGCTAACTGACAACGGCCACAAAAAAATCAACTCAAAAAAGCACTTTGACACGTATGACATAAAGAACACGTTGCATCGCAGTCGAAAATATACCCCCAAACTTTACGCTGAAACAAGGCAAACTGAAACACGAGTAAACATGTCAGTTTTATGCAAAAACCCGTGTCAACCTGTGCATTTTACTGTCGTGGCCTTTTGAAAAACCTTTTTGAAAATCATCGCCCAGTCTGACCGAAACAGAAATCTCTTTGAAATTGCAGTGAATTTCGGTTTTTGATTCGCTCTGACACTTTTCCTTTGATGGTTGCGATTCAATAGGCCTTTGAAAACTTTTGATCGACATTATTGGTAATTTTAAATTAATAATAATAGAAGTTGTTTTAAGTTGTTATTAATTGTGGATTGGCATAGTGTGCGTCATACTAAAATGTTATGTGTATTTTTTCAGACATAGTGTATGAAAAATAAACATAGCCAAAAGAAAATATTTTTTATATAATAAGGAACGCCTTATTCAGTTTGAAAAAAAAATTGAGTTTATTTATTCACAAATTATGTGTATTAATTTTAATTGGCCAAATAAATATTGTAAATATTTGAAATTTAAATTTGGATTATCCGGATCCCTTCAAATTACAAACAGCTTGTGATTATGACAAAAATATCTATATCAAAAAGGTTTGATACTTATAAAAAAAGAACCACAACCCTTCCTTTAAAACTTAACATATTACTGACATGAGACATAAAAGTTCGTAAAAACAAAAGAAAATAAAGAAATATTTTTACAAAAGTAAAAGATATGAAAATTATTATGTATACTCCGGTTCGCGGTTTTACGATAATGCTTCGTCTTTCAGTCAATGTTGTTTCAAGGGTTCCGTGTCCAAAGAACAAAAACGAGGTCTTGTTAATAAGACCCCGATGTCAGCCTGTCAACAGGCTGCATAAATAACAAATATCAAGGTGGATTAAGAAAGTTTTTAGATAATGCAAATCTGCAATAGATTTTTATACAACTAGCTACTCTCGCGCGGCTTCATCCACTGCTCGGCTCCTATAGATTGTAGTGTGATGTTTTATAGCTTAAAGCCTTTCAATAAATGGTCTATTAGACACAAAAATATTGTTTTAATTCGAACCAGTAGTAGGATAGCGCGTTCAAATAATTTATTCAGGAGGAAAATCATCAAATGACTTGACGCCCTAGGTCGGAAAAAAGTGAGGAAAAGGGAGTTTCAGATTCTTACAGAGTAAAAACTACCCGGTTCCTTCTCCTGCTTCAGGCCGAAGCCCCAATGACTTATTGCACTTTCACCCGCAACCCCAGCTGAACATCAACCCTATTAATTGGCTCCCATCTTTGGTGGCCTATTGGTAGTTTTTCTATCCATATATCCATAGTATTATAATATTAGTAGGATAATTTGGAACTCTTTATGCGTAAACCTGACTCAAACATGGCCGGATTTTTACCTTTATTAGAACTTTTTTTTTAATAATACATAACAGGTTATTTATTTTTAGTCATATTTTATATAAGTAACCTCTATGTATATGCAAATTGAAAGAACACAAAGGTATGGTTCTACGAAATACAAAGGTGATATGTTCTACAGAAAAACCAATGATAACAGTGAAATTTTCCTTACAAACATTTATAGTGAAACGGCCTTATAGAAAACCGACGACTTTAAGAACAGTAGGTACTTATGTTAGTCTTATCTATATCTTCTATACTTATAATAAATCTGTAGAGAGGTCAATACTGTATTTTCAAAATAACTATAACTCTGTCTATCTGTCTGTCTCTGCTTCACACATAAACTACTGAACCGATTTAGATAAAAAAATGTACAGGCATAGTTTGAAAGTCGGGAAAGGACAAAGGATAGTTTTTATCCCGGGAGGAGAACTTCCCTAACCCGTTCCCTACAAGATCGGGAACTATGTGGGTAAAATCAAAAATCTACCAGAAATCACTATTTCACGGGGACGAAGTCGTTGGCAGAAGCTAGTACATGAATATAAACGAATTTAAAAAACGTAAAAATTCTTATATCCCAGAAAGAAAGTCAAGTTACAAAACAAATTAGGAATCAACGAGGACCATACACATCATACCTACCATTCGAAGCATAAAATGTTTTTGAATCATGAACTTTAACTTTTACCCTTTACTAGTGGCACAGCCCTGGATCGTACGGCTGTCCAACTATGTCGATGTCAGTCATTTTACTTTGTTAGCTGCCATGATATCGAGAGGGCTGCTACTTTCTGATTTACCTTTATTTATCTAAAATATTGTTTTATAATAACCTTTTCCTGACCTTAGCAAACGGAGCATAAGAAGATCTATCTAGCAATCCACGTATAGTGCCAGGATCAAGAAGAATTAGTATCTAAGTAAAGACTAGACTGTGATTTTGAGGTCTGGTAATTGTTTTGATATTGAATTGAATTTCGATAGCTGGATTACGTTAGGTAGACTGATAGAAAATGCGCATTGCATTAAGTCCGCCTATGTACAGTGTTTTGTGCGTGAAGTCTCAAATAAATAAATAAATATATCTATCAGAGAGCCCTGGCTACAGCCAGGTCTTAGTCAATATGTCAGTATATCACCTGGTTCTTAGCACATCCGCGAAAAGAGTAGGGGATGAATGAATTCTACTCTGACGTCATTATACGTCTTTTGGATAACAGATAAGCGTAGTAAAAAAATTAAAACACGAAACATAATAAAATAATTTTCTAAGAATACAGAGGAGTCACCGATTTCTCATACATGAACGACCTGTCTCTAATCCTAAATTACTCTTTCGATTCTCGACCCACACACCCGCTGGCCAATCAACTACACGGACCTAAAGAAGTCTTATAGGGGGACACGCCATCAATATTCATAGAAACATTTATGTCGATTCTTAATAGTTTTCTTCCGAAAAAAGGGATTCGTTCCCTCTAACAAACTAACAATCAGGGGGATAAGGCATGCAGGAAATACGTACATCAATAGGAACGTGCGCTGAATCATCGATGATGCCAGAGAAACATCGATTATCGTACCTTGGTCGGGTGTGGTAGGAGTAAATGTTGTCTAATTTCTGTAGCACGAGGAGCCGCACAGCGCGATTTAACAAGTCCGGATCGACGCGGTCTCCATCCGCAACGTCGCGGCGGTCAATCCTGCCAATATATCGATATCGATATAACAATCGTGCTCACAACACTACTCAACACGGCCAAGATACGATTAATCGTTCCGTATCAAAGGATTGTAACGAAATTCTTTGGATTTCTTTCAATTATCATTTGAAGTTGGAGAATCCTTTAACAATTTCGCTGGCCTTGTAATTTCGTCTATAAATAAATTTTAGGTATTCATTTGGGGCATATTTGTTCGAATTGTAGGATAACTAAATTTAAAAAAAGTGTTTTGCTGTATCTTTCGTTTTCTAAATTCAAAAGTACCTATAGCGAATACCAAATTTGATGTACCTCAAAAAGAAAAGTCCAGTAAAACAGTTGTGTACAAACTTTTTTACGCTATCATAAACTAGGTTTATTGTTATGAGTATTGTTGAGGTTATAATAAAGAATAGAGTGAGCTTATGAATAAAATATTGGCACACTCCAACTTATGAACGAAGGAGAACTGAAATGCTCATATTCAGAGCAAGAACAAGGAAAGCAGATGCATAAAACTTCTCCAAGAAGTTCATTGACGAATTAGAGTACAATTTACATGTTACTCGCAGTTGGTAGTTACTTAAACCAGTTTCATATCTCAGTGCAATCAAGAAACTTTGTATGAGAATGGCAAGTAATTATTTTTGTTCGCGTAACATTTCTGCGTGAAACTTCATGTTGCTATATTCTACAGGTATAACTTTTGTTTAAGTAAATATGAGTTGTTGGTCGACTAAGACTGTTCTATACTGCTCTACAGTTCAGATATATGAGCAGAGTTTTTGACCAAGAAATATTAAAGGAGTTGCCCAAATGTTTACTTAATAAAAAAAATACAAATAAAATTTCAAAGAAAATCTTATAGAAAGTATCTACTTAAGTAAACTTAATCCGCAAGCAAAGGCCAAATACGTATTCGAAATATATTTAAAACGTCAGATAAAACCTAAGCTTCGATTAAACCACGATCAATTCGACTGACATTCAATTTTCTTCAAAGCAACGATCCTAAGTGGGTAGCACGTTAAGTAAATAAACCAGTAAATACATTTGAATATCTATTTACAACCGCTTCCTAGAAACACCATCTTACCGGGATATTATTAAAATAACATACACCCGCGAACACTGATATTCCGCATGGCAAGATGGCACCACAATCGCTAACGATAAGTTATGATAAAACCGATAATAACGTTAACAGTTCAACAAATCGCGTAATTAGCGCGACACTCGAATCCTTCATTATATGGTGCAACCATCCGTTAAAATAAACATGTTGGTTTAACTAACGATAGTTTATCATAATCACATACTTCACACGGTGTCAGCCGGCTTTAAATACTGTGTGTTTCATAAAAGGCTTAAGTTTGTTTTGCATTAAAATTCGAAGCAACATTGTTTTGACATTTGGCGATGGGTTAATCTTTAGTAAAATCAAAACCTTCTTACATACAAAACGTTACAAATATCAACGTCCTACTTAATGATAGACACGTGGATAATGTTTATTTTTATC